ATTTACTTCTGTTTCAGCGTTTTCCTGAACATATTAGATAATTTTCACTTCTTTTTTTTACACTCTTATCATCCTTTAATCTTCTCCCTTATCCTCCAGCTTCCCTTTCCTAGGCAGTCACACTATGCATTGTATAGGCTCTAGTAGATGCTTTTTATTACTCTCTTTTAAGTTAGCAGTAGCTTGAGCATGCATTGTATTGGTTCTAGCATTGAAAACAATCAATTTGTTCTATGTTTTGCCGCCAACTTCAGCATTTTTGTCTAGAAATAAGCCACCTGGTTCTCTGCAGCTTGGTGTGCTATCTTTCATGTTGGAAAGAAACACACACTTATCAGATTTCAGTGTTTTTTATCATTCAGATTTCAGAGTGTTAATAACAGAAACACTTGAATGTGTTCAGTTGGTTTTGAGTGTGGTAATGTGCACCTCATTGTACATAACCGTTTTGCACACTTTTGTACCAAATTTGTAACAACAAAGACCAACAACACTGCTCTTATATATACACATCACAAAAATGAAGCTGAATTTTTTTAAGGAACCAAGGTATTCATGAAGCCACAATTCAAACACACAACACAAACATGCCAGTACTAATCTAACAATACACACCATCAACACATAACATTCTCCTCCCATATAACACTTCACAGTTCACACACTTCTACTAATCTAACAATACAAACCATCAAGAATAACATAGTTATCACTTGGACTTCCCATACAACACAGCAGCAAAAACAATCTAGGAGATGAGTAGACCAATAAATGAGTACTTCTCTCCTTTTGCATGCTTGGAAACTAATTCCTTTTTCCCTTTTCTTTTCCTCTGCAACCGCCATGGGTGGATAATCCCTAACCCATTGAAAAAACGAGCAATCTGCGTTCTACAAAAGGCCCCATTTTTCATACATCATTTAATTCAAAAAATAATACATAATTCATAAATCAGTCAAACTTACGGGCCATAATGCACATCCTTAAAATCTTCGACCACGGTTAGAGCCTGATTTCACCGTTCTAGGTTTCGAACACACCCCATGGTGGCATTCAATTGAACACTCGATTTGGGTTTCATCCCTTCCTCCACGAGAGGATGACCAAGACGTTGAACTCATTCAATTGGGGACTCCTATGGCCAGACAAAATCTGCAATTTGTGTTGCAGCGCAAGGAAGAAGATAGATGAAGGTAGCGTTCAAAGCAGAAAAGAGGAGATGTGAAGATGATAAATGGAAGGAAGGAGTATTAAATATACACGTGCCCTATCACGTGAGTGTATGACCGCCTATTAATTAGAGTAACCGGTCATGGTCTAATAACGGAAGACATACCCCTGAGTACGGATTAAACAAATATAATACATAGTAGGGATTATTAAAAGCGGACGCGTCATAGTTCGGATTATTCGGGTCAATTTTTCCTTTTTTTTATATGCAATTGAGAATTCGAATAATAGGTTGGTGGAGCCTAAATTTGACTGTATTAGTGACGCGTGATAAAGACCTATCCCGAAGTGATATATTTTTGGAAAAATTGATACTAATAATCCCAACTATTGGCGGTTCGCTCATAATAATTCCAACTATCGATTATTCCAGAATAATCCCAACTTTAGGGACCTTCCACCAATAATGGTCCGGCGTGACCAGCTATAAATAAATTTCAATAGTTTTTAAAGTGGATTAGAAGAGATATAGCAGGTAATCCCTATAAATAATCTCAACTTTTAATTTTTACTCTTAATTTCTATTTAAAATTCACATGTTATAACAGGTAATATCCGGTCATGGATCATTATTGGCGAAGGGTCCATATAGTTGGGGTTATACAAAAATAATCAATAGTTGGGATTATTGTTAGCGCAGCAGCAATAGTTGGGATTATTATTTCCATTTTTTCCTATATTTTTTCTACATGACCCTACGGGGTATCCATTTAAATTGATAGTATATATATGGCCGGGTTGTTTAGCAGTTAACCCGAGCCAAGCGAGCGGGATACAAAAATTACTCGATGTGCTAACCCGTCGATGTGCAGCCCTAATTTACTCGACTACACTAAAATAATAATGACAACATAATGCCAAATAGTATACAAAATATACTGTACAATTAATTTTTTACCTTCAATAGAAAATGTACTTCATGAAGTTGAAGGAAATAAATTATTTCCTTAACCTGCGTGAATCGGTGATATTAAAACCAAGAAGTTTAAATACACACGAAGGTATAATATTTCTTTAGTATTTTTATTTTTCAACCTACATACTCAACCTAAGTGATATCAATATTAAACATATTTAAAATAAACAAAATCATAAAAGTTCAGACAAATATAGGTACATTACATATAAATGTGCTTTAAATTATATTGTTTGAGGTAAATTTGAACTCCAAATTTTTATCTTTGCTTTATGAATTTTATAAATTTAACAATTTTACACATTTTCTTTTGGACAAGATCATTATCGGTATATTTATCAATATTTTCATAAAAGTAAATTACTGATATACTATCGTATATGTTTATCTATACTGATTTTTTCATCTTTGGTGTTAAACTAGGATCGAAGAGAGCAAAATATTTTCCATTATTCTCCTTTCTATTGTACAAGGCATGGCCGAATATATATATGCTTCCTGCGGCTAGATTAATACGTATATTTCTCCTTTTGTGAGAAATTCTAGGAGATAAAGAAGGAAGGAATTAACTAGTGTGATCTCCATCCTAATCTAAACAACGTGTAGTACATACCAAAAAATGTGACATAAATAAAATGTACAAAATAATATACACAACACCCCCCCTCAAGATGGAGCATGGGGGTCACAAATGCCCATCTTGCCTAGTAAATAAGAGAATTGTTGTGCTCCCAATGCCTTGGTCAATAGGTCTGCGGGCTGTTCAGTAGTTGGTGTGTATGAAGGCGCAATCGTCCCAGCTTGAATATGATCCTGTATAAAATGACAATCAAGTTCGATGTGCTTCGTGCGTTCATGGTAAACCGGATTAGAAGCGATATGCAACGCAGCCTGATTGTCACACAATAGACGAACGGGTGCAGCAGATGCGATTCCCAAAGATTGGAGTAAGTTGCGGAGCCAAATAAGTTCACACGTCAAGGAAGCCATAGACCGGTATTCCGCCTCTGCGGACGATCGTGAAACCGTGGCTTGCTTTTTGGTGCGCCATGACACCGGAGAATGGCCCAATGTAACAAAATATCCGGTGACGGACCGGCGTGTAATGGGACAGCTAGCCCAGTCTGCATCACAAAACCCAGTGAGAGTGAGAGGAGAGTCGGCCCGCAACAATATACCCTGTCCAGGTCGTCCTTTGAGATAGCGCAAAACCCGAAGAACGGCATCCCAGTGTCCCACTCTCGGCTGCTGCATGAACTGAGAGAGTATATGAACTGTATAACATATGTTGGGTCTGGTCAACGTGAGATAAATAAGTTTCCCGACCAACCGACGGTATCGTTCCGGATCAGAAAGGAGCGGACTCGAATCAGACTGCAATCTATGATTTTGCACCATAGGGAAGGTTACCGGCTTACATCCCGTCAGACCTGTTTCATTTAAAATATCAAGAACATACTTTCTTTGACAAAGAAAAATGCCTTTCGGACTCCGTGCAACCTCTATACCTAGGAAATATTTCATGATTCCCAAGTCCTTGATAGGAAAGGTGGCGGCAAGATATCGTTTAAATTGGTCAATCATGGAGTGATCATTCCCAGTTACCAACAAATCATCTACATAAATAAGCACACACATAATCCGGCTACTATACCCCTTTTCAATGTGAACAAGGAATAGTCGGCGTGAGACTGAGTGAATCCGTATGCCCGTAAGGAAGTAGTAAGCTTATGAAACCAGCATCGAGGTGCTTGGCGCAAGCCGTATAGAGATCGAAGCAATCGACAAACCTTCCCGGGAGAGGAGGCCGAATAACCTGGTGGTCATAATCCATCCCACCGCCATGGAGTTGACGGTTAGCCAGTCTTCAAGGTCTCTCGGAATATTTATGGGTCGTTCGATGGTGCCGTCCAAAAACCCCATCTTCCGCTTAGCACGGAAAGCATTTTTCATGGCCGTAGACCATTCCCGATAGTTGCTCTCTCCCTTGAGAACAACTGCACAGATCATCATCCCGGGATGATCCGAGCTAGACAAATAATACGGTGATGAAGGGTCATTGATTTTTCGTCGTTCCAAATGTTCTCGATGGCCGTCTCCTCCGGTGTGACCTGTTTCTCCGGCCATTTTGTCGTCGTATGAGCGCGATTCGTAGGTCCCGAATCAGTGCTCTGATACCATGTTAAACTAGGATCGAAGAGAGCAAAATATTTTCCATTATTCTCCTTTCTATTGTACAAGGCATGGCCAAATATATATATGCTTCCTGCGGCTAGATTAGTACGTATATTTCTCCTTTTGTGAGAAATTCTAGGAGATAAAGAAGGAAGGAATTAACTAGTGTGATCTCCATCCTAATCTAAACAACGTGTAGTACATACCAAAAAATGTGACATAAATAAAATGTACAAAATAATATACACAACATTTGGTGAGGATAGAAATTCAAAGTATTGAATACTCTCTCGTTTGGCAAGAGAAAAAACTTCGAACGAAAAAACGGATGGAGTCTACTCACAAACCTTTCTGTCCTCTAGTGCTAAAAAGGGAGCTCTAGCTTGACTTTTTCTTCAATTCTTCAATTGTGATCTTTTATGTTATACGGAGTATTCATTTACTCCATTCCTGATTAACATCCCTTTTAATTTACATAATTTTTAAGAAGTCAATACCGTACAATTAATCTTGTTTAAAGATTAAAGAGTATGAATGACAAGTAAAGGTCATTTAAAACAAATTATAGATAGTATACACTTTTTTCTAGAAGTTTTTTTTATCTCTTTAATACTTCTCGCCATTTTATATATCTCCACTAATTAGATCTTCTCACCATTTTATTATAATCTACTTGTTTCCTCACCATTTTATATATCTTCATTAGATCTTCTTTCATATTTCTCTCTTCTTATTTTCTCCCCCAAACAGGAAAGGAGATAGAGAGATGGACAACAAGACAACCCTTGGGAATAATAATGTTTTAATACTGGTGGTTGTTTGTTTTCTCTTGCTTGTGCTAGTAGGGATTTTGGGTAATCACAAATACCACAAGTCAACTGAAGCTGACACTGAGGCCACGATGATCACAATGATGATATCTCCCCTCCCCCCTTCGAATAACATAATGATTCGGAAGACGATGAGACAACCTTATTCTCTTCGTCATCACACTCATAAGTCCATCAAGTATGTGAGTAAAAGAAGTGTACCAAATGGATCTAACCCCCTTCACAACAGGTACTTGCACACGTTTATATGTACATTATAAAATAGGCTAAAGGGTCAAATTAGTCCAATAGGTACTTGCACACTTTTACTGGTTACACTGTTGGTTCTGATACTCTCGATCTTAGTCCAATTAGTCCAGGTACTCTCGATCCTATTGCAGTTAAGACCGATACTCTCGATGTTAGTCCGATTAGGACCAATCAGGACCAACATCAATTAGTCCGATGTTATTCCTGATACAAATGTTAGTCCCCTGATACTCTCGATCTTAGTCCAATTAGTCCAGATACTCTCGATGTTAGTCCGATTAGGACCAATCAGGACTAACATCAATTACTCCTTCATACAAATGTTAATCCAATTGGTTCTGATACTCTCGATCTTAGTCCAATTAGTCCAGGTACTCTCGATCCTATTGCAGTTAAGACCGATACTCTCGATGTTAGTCCGATTAGGACCAATCAGGACCAACATCAATTAGTCCGATGTTATTCCTGATACAAATGTTAGTCCCCTGATACTATCGATCTTAGTCCAATTAGTCTAGTTACTCTCGATGTTAGTCCGATTAGGACCAATCAGGACTAACATCAATTACTCCTTCATACAAATGTTAATCCAATTGGTTCTGATACTCTCGATCTTAGTCCAATTAGTCCAGGTACTCTCGATCCTAGTCAAATTAGTCCTCATACGCTCGATTTCAGAACTAACACAGACCAGATCAGACCAGACCAGATTTAAACAGACCAGACCAGACCAGACCAGACTTGGACAGTTATAAAATACACTGAGACCATACGTTTACCAGACCAGAACAGTTCAGACTAGACCAGACCAGACTTATCCAATTAGTCCAGATACTCTAGATCTTAGTCCATTTAATCTTTTTTAACACCAGATTAGAAATATTAAGGTTCCAAATATTAATGTATTAGTGCTTATCCGTGCTTATCCGTGCTAAGCGGTCACATTCAATAGCGGAATGGCGCTGGTTCAGACTGGTATAATTTTAAACGTGTATCACACTATAGCATCTTCCCTTCTGTGCCCAATTCAATACCAAACAGAACGACTCTAGAAAGTACATTGAATGTGATACTAGAAAAAAGTGCTACATTGAATGAGATTTTCAATTCCTTAATTTCTCTCTAGGGTTTACTTTATCGTTTATTTTCTCGGGTTATTGTTAACAATGGCCGATTTTGGGAGCCATGTTTATCTTTTTACTGGTTACACTGTTGAGGACGACCCTACCGATAAGAATAGGATGATTTATGTTTTATGTACTCGCCATGGAAGAAAAATACCAGTTGCATCTTTAACCTATTGCTGTCATCATCTACTTGAAGCGGGATGGCATGATTTTACGGATGCAGTAGACCTCCTCACGGCTCCCCACTTCAGCAATTATGAGATTGAGACACCAGACACAACAACTCTTCGAGGGCATTTGCTTGAAATAATTCAAAATAGTTATTCATACGGTGCTGAAGGTTAGTATGCTCAATGAATTCGGTTAGTACACACTAATTTATTTACTGTGTATGCTCAATGAATTAAAACCAAACTATTAAAATATATATATTCTTGATTCCCAGCCTGTACTCGAGACCCTTATAGGTTTTCTGTTCATCTTCCGGATGTGGATAAAACAAACATAGCTTGGTGGTTTGTCATTCCAGAAACAGATGGGACACCTACAGTATGCACTCATTAAACTTTGTACTATTTAATGTTTCGATTATTGTTTTAATTTATACAAACGTGTTCTCAGAGTTTACCGGAGTGTATGAGCAGGCATCTTTTTGAGCACATAGAAAAGCGTGCTGTATTTGGTTATGGTAAAAAATCCTTCTTTGTGGACGTTGAGAACTTCATGTTAAATGGAGTTGACACATTCTTCACGGAATCTGGTGTTCCAGATGATGCCCTTCTTTTATTTCGTCATACAGGCAACTTTAGGTTTGATACATTTGCTTTTGATAGTAGGGGTAATAACATTGCCCCAATTGATTCCGGTCTCATTCCCAATCCTACTGCATCAGGTAGATAGATCCATTCTGTTTGAGTCAACTGTAATTTTGTTGCAACTGTAATTTCATTGTGTAATTTTTTTTAAATATTTTTCAGATGAAATGATTGTCCCTGTAAGGTCTGCCATTCCGAATTTGCCATACGAAGGACTCTTCTCATGTCCTTCTTTCTTCTACTTTCCGCGTAAAACTTCAAAGGTTTGATAAAAAATTCAAATCCTTCGTACTATTGCCCTAATTTACTCTGAAATAAAATATCTGAAACAGGTCCACTGCAATGAATTCTTGATGAGCTGTTGTAATTCAGATTTAGAACAAGAAGATTTAGTTGTGAGCCATGGAACACAAGATGAAGAGTTTTCTAGTAAGCATGCGCGGGTGTTGTTTAAGGCAGTGAGAGATCGTTTCTTTTTACATAAAAGCTTAAAGTTGGTGTTTTTTAACATCATGCGTGGTTGTGTTTTAATGCTGGTCAGTGCAACGTAGAGTCACTACCCCAGCACACTAGTATAGAATATATGATAGAGTTAAATTCGAATGGTAGAATGTAAGATTTGTTGTGACTTTTAAGAAACTGTCTGCCATGGTTGAAAAACCTACCAAGTTCTGGTTTAATATAACGTACTTCTATCTATAATTACAAATCTGATCTTTTTTTATTATCTACCCAAATGAAGTTTTATGGTTATAATAATGCTAAATACATAAAAACATAATCATAATGCTAAATACATAAAAACATAAATATGTTATAATATTAATTCTAACTTATGGATATACATGTGAGTGTAATTAAGAATTAAAGTAGTAATTACAATCACTGAAAGAAATTACAATTGAGACCAATAACCATTAAACTTCATTTGGGTAGATAATACAAAAAGATCAGACTTTTAAAATGAGACGTAATATGTAAAAGGGTCGACTTGATTGTGAAAGTTCGACCATGAAAGGGTCGACGCAGGGGGGACAAATGAGATTAATTTTCATTGGTTAACTCAAAATAATCATCTCTATATTACATGTTATAATCATCTATATTGCATATTATGTCCATCATTGGGAACCCCATAAGGGTCTAGATGATTTGTGAACTCTTTGATGTAGTCTTCTGAAATCTGAATTCTAACATATAGTCGACCAAACAGTTGTCGACTTGATGTTGAAGATTCGACCATCATTTGAATCAGATTTGAGATTTTGATCGAACTTGATAATTTTTCATGAGAATTTCATTTTTTAATAATTATTAAATTTAATTATTCTTGGTTATACTAAGAATGTGTTACCAATTAAATGTGTTTTATTTATGGATTAATTATAAATTATCAAATATTGCAATGTCTCTTACCGGAGCCGACCGTTGTGTTTTTTCAAACAATGGTTTGAAAAATGAGACAAATGAAAGGGTCGACAGTATATTTTTTTAGAAAGTTTGAAAAATTTTAAGAAATGGCGCTATTTTCCAGAAAACCCAAAAAAAGGGAGGGAGTTACCATGGTAGAGCAAATTGGGTCTAGTCTCATAAATGCTTTCGGTCTAGTCTCATAAATGCTCTGTCTTCCGATATGGCGCCTCTTTAGTACTGTAGTATCTAAAGATTTGGCGCAAGTCTCCATACTGAACCTCAAGATTTGGCGCAAGTCTCCGTACTGTAGTCACATAATAAATGGCCCATAATAAATGCCTGTTAAATTACTCCTAGTATATTTGTTCGATCGACCCCTAGTTGAGCATATTTTGGTCGACCTCAAAAAAATGTTTAGGTCGACTATATTTTGGTCGAAAAGTGTTGACGGCGTTTTCAATGGATTCCTAAATTTTTTAGTGGAACATGGTCGAGCCTCCTTGAACCCTAAATTTTCAGTGGATTTTTATTCGAACAGAATGTAGTCGTTTAAGTGGATCACCAATAACTATAATAATCATAATGCTAAATACATAAAAACATAAATATGTTATAATATTAATTCTAACTTATGGATATACATGTGAGTGTAATTAAGAATTAAAGTAGTAATTACAATCACTGAAAGAAATTACAATTGAGACCAATAACCATTAAACTTCATTTGGGTAGATAATACAAAAAGATCAGACTTTTAAAATGAGACGTAATATGTAAAAGGGTCGACTTGATTGTGAAAGTTCGACCATGAAAGGGTCGACGCAGGGGGGACAAATGAGATTAATTTTCATTGGTTAACTCAAAATAATCATCTCTATATTACATGTTATAATCATCTATATTGCATATTATGTCCATCATTGGGAACCCCATAAGGGTCTAGATGATTTGTGAACTCTTTGATGTAGTCTTCTGAAATCTGAATTCTAACATATAGTCGACCAAACAGTTGTCGACTTGATGTTGAAGATTCGACCATCATTTGAATCAGATTTGAGATTTTGATCGAACTTGATAATTTTTCATGAGAATTTCATTTTTTAATAATTATTGAATTTAATTATTCTTGGTTATACTAAGAATGTGTTACCAATTAAATGTGTTTTATTTATGGATTAATTATAAATTATCAAATATTGCAATGTCTCTTACCGGAGCCGACCGTTGTGTTTTTTCAAACAATGGTTTGAAAAATGAGACAAATGAAAGGGTCGACAGTATATTTTTTAGAAAGTTTGAAAAATTTTAAGAAATGGCGCTATTTTCCAGAAAACCCAAAAAAAGGGAGGGAGTTACCATGGTAGAGCAAATTGGGTCTAGTCTCATAAATGCTTTCGGTCTAGTCTCATAAATGCTCTGTCTTCCGATATGGCGCCTCTTTAGTACTGTAGTATCTAAAGATTTGGCGCAAGTCTCCATACTGAACCTCAAGATTTGGCGCAAGTCTCCGTACTGTAGTCACATAATAAATGGCCCATAATAAATGCCTGTTAAATTACTCCTAGTATATTTGTTCGATCGACCCCTAGTTGAGCATATTTTGGTCGACCTCAAAAAAATGTTTAGGTCGACTATATTTTGGTCGAAAAGTGTTGACGGCGTTTTCAATGGATTCCTAAATTTTTTAGTGGAACATGGTCGAGCCTCCTTGAACCCTAAATTTTCAGTGGATTTTTATTCGAACAGAATGTAGTCGTTTAAGTGGATCACCAACAACTATAATAATCATAATGCTAAATACATAAAAACATAAATATGTTATAATATTAATTCTAACTTATGGATATACATGTGAGTGTAATTAAGAATTAAAGTAGTAATTACAATCACTGAAAGAAATTACAATTGAGACCAATAACCATTAAACTTCATTTGGGTAGATAATACAAAAAGATCAGACTTTTAATTATACTAAGTAGATAGATAGAAGTGCAGTCATCAACCAGAACTTGGTAGGTTTTTCAAAGATGGCAGATAGTTTCTTAAATGTCACAACAGTTACATTCTACCATTCACATTTAACTCTATCATATATTCTATACTAGTGTGCTGGGGTAGTGACTCTACGTTGCACTGACCAATTACCAGCATTAAAACACAACCACGCATGATGTTAAAAAACACCAACTTTAAGCTTTTATGTAAACAGAAGCGATCTCTCACTGCCTTAAACAACGGCCGCTGATGCTTGCTTGAAAAGTGTTGATCTTGTGTTCCATGCCCCACAACTAAGTCTATACTTTCTGAATCTGGATCACTACAACAGCTCATCAAGAAATCATTGCAGTGCACCTGTTTCATGGATTTTATTTCACAGTAAATCAGGGCAATAATACAATGACAGGATTTTAATCAAAGTACTATATGGTATTACAAGTGAGATTTTAATCAAATCTTTGATGTTTTATACGGAACGTAGAAGAAAGAAGGGCAGTAGAAGAGTCCTTCGTATGGCAAATTCGGAATGGCAGACCTTACAGGGACAATCATTTCACCTGGAGTATATGTAAAAATATTTACACAACCATTTATATTTTCAATCCATTTTGAGGTACACATTTTCATACGCACACTTACACATGTTTGTGAAGAGTATTTTTGTGTCTGTATACACACAAATATTTGTGTCTGTATACACACTTACAACATTTTCAAATACGTTATGTCTTAATATAAACAAAAAAGTACTCTTCACAAACATGAGTGTGTAGGTGTGTCAAATATTGCAATGTCTCTTACCGGAGTAGACCGTTGTGTTTTTTCAAAAAATGGTTTGAAAAATGAGACAAATGAAATTACAAAATGAGACATAATATGTAAAAGGGTCGACTTGATTGTGAACATTCGACCATGAAAGGGTCGACGCAGGTGACAAATGAGATTAATTTTCATTCGTTAACTCAAAATAATCATCTCTATATTACACCGTGTGTGTATGAAAAATGTGTACCAATAGATTTTTTTTATACTTTTACGACAAAATTACAATTGAC